GGGGGGGGGGTAGTACCTACGTAGACAATTTCCAGCGCCAAAAAAGCCAAGGAAGAGAATGAGTAATGAATAACAGTGAGTCATCATAAACAAGCATGTAACATTCCTTGCCTGTTCTTACATTTGCCTGTACAGCGAGTTCCTCTGTAGTGCCCCCCCAGTGGTCAAAAACACGGCATTTCGTCTTCATACAAGCTCGACACCTGACCACATACAGTCACATCTGCAACGACGAAAGAGGGCCACTGAACATAACAACAGTGAAACAGGCTTTAAAAGCAGGAGTGACAAGAAGGGGAGTTTTGTCCTAAAATGATCCATGTTTCCTTAAACAGGAACCAGAGGTTAAAATACAGCAGAGACACAGAACTACAGAGACACCTGGGAGCACCCCCTCCAATTCAAATGTCAAAAAATGTTAACTGAAGAAAAACTAATACTGAACAATATTTTTTAAACTTTTGGTTGGGGAGGCTATTTGTATGTCTTCAAAGCAATAAAAATTAGCAAACAATGTGATTAGTCAACCAAGTCTAAAATGATTTGGCAGAACAATACCATTGATGTTAAATTTAAATTCAATTAACCCTTAAAATTGTACATGGTCAGAATACAAGATATTCTGGACACACTGTCCCAGGCAAATTAATAACATCAATAAGAGTGAACATATTTTTGGTAGTGTACCGGTGTACTTACGAAAAACACTTGTTTATAATTTAAGAGTGGAGTGGAGTAACAAAAATAATTTCTTTCACTTTTACCCCTGCATAGTAGAAAAAAAAATAGCTGCAAGTAAAGGAGCATGACCAAAAAATTAAGGGAAAAATGCAAATAAATAAATCCATGACCTTTTAACCCGAAGCTTCATACAACAGTTCAAGGCTGGACTAAACTATAAAAAATTGCACACAGAGACAGTCAAGGTAAATTATTATTTCCACTCTATTGATATTTTCCTTTTATATCTTTATCAGTATCAGTCAGCTTAACTGGTTTTATATTTGATCAAAAATATTGCAACTACTTTTTCCTCAACACCCAAAAAAACAAACGAAAAACAAAAACACATGAAAGTCAAGAATGATGATTGTGTCCGGGCTGACTGGAGATGGTGGCCGGGGGCCTTATTTTGAAGACGAAAATATGCAGGTGGGAGGCGATCTGGTTGCAAACACTGATGCAGTAGCGAACCAGATCGAAAGAGGACAAGACCTGTGGGTGCAGAACAGCAGTTTAGGCTGTGGCCCAGAAAACCAATCATGTCATAATACAAGATGTTTAGTCAGCAGAAGCCACTGACCACTCTAAACAGCACCTGCAGTCGCCAACTCAATATGCATTAGCAACACGTGTAGCCCACGATTCAACTGAATGGGAATTAATCAGTCAAGCACATAAGCCTTACCAGTGCGATCCAAAGAACCCAGTATTCATCAATAAAGCTGTTAAAATACTGGTCCAGAAACAGCAGTCCAGGTCCAAGAAAAGCCAGATCATGAAGGTACATTTCACTTTTTGTCATGTGTGCAACCTATAGAGAGAAACAAAGACACACCACGTCACATCAGTGATACCTCCCCTTAGTGTTACTGATAGTGTCAGAATATCAATCATACTGTGACTGAAGCAGCGAACAGCAGGACTGAAGACCAGAAGAATATAGGTTTATATCCCAATATGTTTGTTATATGTGTCTGAGTGACCCAGACCTTTTCTTATAATTTTAAGAAGTTAGAAAAAAAAATACCATTAATCTTAGATATTTCATACAATAATAATAATAATAATAATAATAATAATAATAATGTACATTATACAGAATAGTGTACAAATACAAAACACAAGAAAAAAATACACAATACACAGGGGATCTTATTTAACTACTGGTAAAACAGGCAAGGCAGTTACCACTAATTTGTTGGTGATCTTGGCTGATACAAAGCCAAACACCAGGATGTAAAGACACGGGTGCCTTTCAAAGAGCTGGACAGCGGACTTCTTGTAGATCATTACGGCCAGAGTTATCACAGAGCCGATGTGGAAGAATGGGGAGAGAACACTCGTTCCCTGGAATACAAAAACATTTATACATTACAAATAATGCTACATATTCAGAAACAATCTGTCACTGCAAATAGTTTTGTTTACTCTGATAGGCCACTTGAAATGTTTAAAATTAAAGTGACTTCAGCACTTTTTCAATATTAGGAAAAGGAGCACTTAAGCCAAAGTAGAGTGCCTTCGCCAAACTAGCAAGTGTCAGAGCCTGGAATGAATCAAATTCATACCCTTAGGTTTGTAATTACACAGATAGAGATCTTGCTGTCACTTACATCTCTATGTATATGCAACTTATGGCTATAAGAAGATGCACAGAGCACTTTCAGTTGTGAACTTACCGCTATTGTCGATCCATTTTTGCCCACACCGCCAGTAAATATCACCCGAAAATAGTTCATGCAAGAGAATATGGCTCCCACCACTGTGAAAATGGCAGGAACTATTTTCATTTGAATGCTTATCACTGGAATCTGTGGACCCAAAAAAGCCAGTAAGTATCTCACAGGGATGATGGACAACAAAGTCTTCAAAAATAGTAAAACTATGCAGATCAGCATAGTAGCTTTAACATACTGAAAATAACATGAGCACTTGAAAAAAAGATTTTGAAGGTATCACTTGAAGGGTTATAAAATGAGTGCTTTAGTTTTACTGTACAGCCAAGCTGATTGCAGCAGAGTAACCATCAGCTACAATGTTATACAAGCACATCTTTGTACAGAAATTCATTTTAGCTTTATGACCACTCACAGCTTCTATATCAGAAATTAAAACCAAGCACACACACTTAAAATTAAAGGGGGGTAAAAACAATTACCGGGAGCTGCCAAAAAGCCGATCCTCCGACAGCGGCCAGCAAATACATGATTATAATGAAGATTTGCACCTCAGTCACATCAATGCTGAGCAGGTAAAGAAAGCAGAAGAATCATAAGCAGGATTAGAAAGGTCAGCACTTCACGTCACCATGCAGAGCACTGCGCCCCCTACAGTTCTCCCACCCAAACCACACTTCATCCCATTAAAACAAAGTAGTACCGTGGTACCTCAGAACTTGAAATTAATCCGTTCAGAACTCCGGACCGAATACTAAAAAGTTCGAGTTCTGATCGAATTTCCCCCATAAGAAATAATGGAAAACCAATTAATTGGTTCCCGGCCCCAAAAAATTACACCTAAATATGTTTTATTTTTAGCATTTAAACGCAAAATGAATCGGATAAAACAAGAGCATATACTGTACTAAACACATCTAAGCACATTTATCAAAAAGGTAATTAAGACGTAAGAAAATAAATGTATCCAAACAATGTGTAAAGTTAAAAAAAATAAATTAAAAAAAAAATAAAAAATGTGTCATGCCGCTCCTTCCGTGTGCCACGCCCCCTCGTTAACCCCGTGTGGAATCCCCGTGTGATCAGCTGTTTCTGGTTGTTGTCATTAGTCCTCTGTATTTCGTCTGCATATCAGTTTGTTTCCCCAGTTCGGTCATTGTATTGTCCGTCTGCGTTTTGCCTGCCTTACCTGTAATTAAACCCCGTATTCCCCGATTCCCTGACGTCTGCGCCTTTGTCTCCGTTCCGATATTATTATAAATTAAATGTATTAATGGTTTATTATTAATATTAAAATTAATAAGAAATCACGGTTTGACTTCTGAGATTCAGATCGAGTTCTAGGTGATTATATTTCGAATTGGTTGGTTCGACTTAAGAAATTCAAGTTCTAATGAGTTTGAGAACTGAGGTACCACTGTATATCCGTCCTTGTATTTCTCATAGAAACCTTTACCAAATAATGCTTATTTTATTCTGTCAAGTATTAAGATTTTAGTTACGCCAAGAGTAAATCATAGCTCGCAGCTGTCTCAATTTCCAGAGAGAATAGGTCTTTGCTCTTTTCTGTAGGATTCATGGAAAACTGATCAGAAAAGACCCTCTTTAAAATACTACAATACTGAATTGACAGAAGACAATAAGAAATGCATAAGAAAACAATTTTTACAAACAAACTGAAAACTGGCAGAGCAGTTAAACTCCCCACTGTCCTCCAGTCTAGAATGAGACTACAATGTCCCACAAAAAAAATGGTGAAATATCAGAAGTTGGATGTGTTTAGAAGACAAAGTGCCAGGTGTTAGTTTGAAATGTACATAAGTGTATCCTTCAGATACACAGGAAACCATTTGGTTATCTGGAAAAAGACAAGTCTTATTTGAGCAAATTCTAGCCTTTTCATTGTCGGGATCAATACCCATCCGGTCACTTCCAACATCATTCTTCATTTTGTTAACACTGTCCAGATCACAATGTATACAACTGGAAATCTTGTTTCCAAGGTAATTGCTTAAAGGCTGCGAAAAAGACAAGGGTTACCAGTAACCAGGCACTCAGGACTTAATACCGTTTGGTCTGATGATGATGAAGTTCAATGTCCACAACATTTCATACCTGGAACTCACAAGTTGGTCAAAATGCGATCAAAAGCAAGACCAAGTTTAACTACGGAAAGCCACTAAGATAATAATTTGATCAATAATTCGATCAGTGACGTCCAGCTGGCTGAGCTGAAGCATGACCATGGGGTTCCTTTGAAGTTGTGATCCCTAGATTCATTAAGACAGCGTTTTCCTAGTTAAGCAGCACATGCAGGAAGCAGTGGGAATGGCCGAGCGCAATCCATGTGCCAAGGGGGAGGGGCCAAGGTAAGGGGGTTTGGCCTCAGTTACCGTCAAGTTCCAGAACTCTGGACCAAAGGCGGCCGTGAGCATCTGCAGAAGGCCTAGAGAGAGTTGTACCTCTACAACAGCAAACCTGCCATTCAAGGAAGGATGGATGAAAGAAAGACATCTCAACTTAGTTTTTCGATTTTATTCCTCTAGCTCAGCAGAAATCTTTAGGAGGGAGGGGCTTCAGTGGAAAAAAAAAAAACAATCCACCCATTTTATAGCGTGATGAGTAAAAACATAAATATAGATTTGCAACAGCTAAGCAACTGTGTAATGTACTCTTGCAGTATGTCACTCAAGGGTATACACTAGACGATCTGTTCTGTGCCTGAGTATGTTTGACCCCCAAAGTCTGGCTTGGCACTTCAGATTGGTGAGAACGACTGCCACACGAGGAGCACGGCACTAATTTGTAAAATTATTCTCACAACAGTTTTAAACCCTGGGTCAGATTTAGAGTATAACACATAGCCTAAATCGCGATTTGTTATTTGTGTTGTTCCAAATTGCGATTTAGATTAGAAATCGAGGAGTCGTTCAGCCCTAGCCTGGTGGTTGAGGCACGATTCAGCTGGACTTGGGCACGGTATGCATAGTGTGATGGCTAACCGTGGTCGAGCACGGAACACAGACATGACGTCAATGATGAAACTGGAATACGCACGCAGACACATGTACGCACACATGTACACTTTATGTGAACTGGAAACCGGAAGAAATGGATCAAGTAAGCTGTACAGATTGGGTAGCAACATTCGTTTTACATGGCTTTAGATAATGAGTGTAAAAATCTGCTGGACAGTGGTTATGCTTAATAAACGTGTCGGATTTGAAACCGCAAGAAAGTACTGCGACGGCACAGACGTCTTTTTACCTTGTTAATCCACAGTATCTCCCCTTTCAAAAGATGTTGTGGCTGCTGAACAGTTCCTTTCTTCACCGCCACTTTAGTGCTCATCACATATATGATACACCAAAACAGTCATGCGGGCCTGCTTCACTGACCAAAATTTCATACATAAGGACATGCCGAATTTATACAGATTAACTTTCGGGCATCACAATACACCTCGTTAATATTTTAGGCATGTAGTACTGAAAAACCGGCATCTGGGCAGATTTTTACGCCCATTATCTAAAGCCTTGATTAAAAAATAGTTTAACAAAAGTTTTCAAATGCAGTATGCATTTTATAAAACTTTGAATTACAAATAAACCATTCAATATCGACACATTAAACATAAATAAACCATTCAATATCGACACATTCAATATAAATAAACCATTCAATATCGACACCGATCACCGGTATCTCAGTGCATTTTGCCCTATTAAATGATGCTGACCAGCATTTTTAGGCATGCTGATAAACAGAGCCATATCAGCGTGGGTACGCATCAGGTACAGCTCACATAATTTACAATGGAAAACCATCTCATTGTAGAACGGCGCGGTTCTTAGTGGAGTAGAAAAGCACCAAAAACAAGCTTATAAGCTACAGTGTAGCCTGTGATGTATTTTCCAAACAAATTGTCACTGCCACTAAAAACCCACACACTTGTATGTATGAAACAATGTGTACAAAAATACAGGACAAATTGCATCCCGTGTTGGTTCAAACAGAGTTGGCACAGGAAGTTCAGTGTTTCGCAATCAACCTGATAGAAGGCGATACATTCAGTCTCTGTCAGTTGAAGTACTTCCAGATGAGGGTGGAATGTTCATGGTTGTCTCTATCTTTGGACCCTTCCTCGTATGGCCTACTCTTACAGGAACACAAGTACACGCACTGCAGTTTAGGATTGAGGGCACACTACTTCCTTTGAACCCATTTTTTTACTCCTTAACTGAAACAACATACTTTTTACCAGTCTTTTAACCCGATTCACTTACTAATAGACACGTAACGTGCAACATGGATGTTGGGTATACACTCACCTAAAGGATTATTAGGAACACCATACTAATACGGTGTTTGACCCCCTTTCGCCTTCAGAACTG